AAGTACATACCCAAAGTTGAGTAAAAAAACTTTAAAAAGTGAGTTTTGCATAATAGTTCCCCTTTAAGCAGCACTTTTCTAATCAGTAATAACCAACTATAATTTAGAGCAGAAAAGCTGTGACATTTTCACTGCATTTGCTGCAGGAACAGAGGAAGTGAAAGAATCCCTCCCTCCCTTCCCAGCAGCCCTCAGCTGTGCTCCTCTCACCTGGCAGCTGCTCAGACTGGTGGGAACGCTCTGTGACGTCCCCGGAGGTGGAGGTGGGGCTCGCCTCTTTTTGGGCATTTCTGCAGGCGTGGGGTTCGTGGAGGAAACGGTCGCCTCGTTCACACAGACCTCCACTTGTTTGAGCCCAGGAGACACGGGAGTGCTCGCCGGCCCATGCTGACAGAAGTACAAACATGCGTTAGCTGCCAACGTTTACATTCAAATAAAGTTTATCCTGACAAGTGGAGAACGTACAGATTCAGGTTTCCTCCTCCTCCTTAGAAAGCTGAAGAAGCATCGGATCTTTTGCTTCTTTTCCTTCCTTGGCAAGTCTGTAAAATGTTACAAGTTATCAGTAAAACAATGGAGAGCTAATAAACCGTGTGTGTTTCTACTACAGAGTGAGGGCCATTTGCACCATAGTTACTATCAAAGTGAGGTCTTTGATGTAAAGTGAGGTTTAGAGGTATGGTGTGAATTAAGTTTTGGTTCAGGTTAGTGTTAACTATAGACCAGTAATGGTTGGTTTTAGAGAAAATGTCTGGCTTAGACATAAATACAGTTACAAAAATGAATGGAAGTCAATACAAAGTCCTCAGTTTGATGCAAGTACAAGTGTGCATGTTGACAGGCCTATGTTTTTGCTACTTAGTGGGAATGATTTTTCAGGAAAATGCAGCCTCGCAGGGATCAAAGCCTGGTCCCCATGACTTTGAAGGCTGATTTTGGGTTGTGGGGGATAGGTTTAGGACCAAGGCGTGAATTAAGTTTATGCTAGATTTAGGGTCAGGTAGATACTGGAGTGGTTAACTTCAGAGTAAGGGGTCAGGGTTAGGCTATAGGAATGACCAATAAATGAATGGAAGTCAATGGAAAGTCCACACAAGAATAGGGAGACATGTTTGTGTATGTCAAGAAACAAATGTGTGTGTGTGTGTGTGTGTGTGTGTGTG